ATTACTGTCTTGAACTTTTCACATTTTTCTCGCCCTCTCTGCCATGTCTAATGCATCATGGTCACTGCCCATTGCTTTCTGATTATGTTTGATGTGTGTTTGTACCTGATGGAATCAACTGGTTATTTGCAGAACTGTGCTGAACTCGCTTCTTGAGCTCCTGGAATGACACTTTGATGAAGCCAGAATAAAAAAGTGATCTGCATTTATGCTGGAGTAGGAATATTCAAAATGAAAAAATTCTTTCTTTGCAGTTCATGTGCAATAGTATCTGTGTAGGTTTGTTTTCTGTGGTCTAGCGAAGAGTAAGTATTGGGTGAAAAGAAAGAGCAGGATTCAGCTCCTGCTGTTACTCTGCAATTTTCAGTAAAATATCCAAGACCCACAGGCTTCATTTCTTCACACTGTTAAAAAGTAGATCATGAATCTACTTGAATCTTGGTCATACTTGAAAAGGATTTTGTATTTTAAGTTGATAAAACAATTTTGAAATTCATTTAATAAAAATTAATATGAAGGGAAGAAATATTTCCTCAAAACATTTGAGAATGGTAAAATGGAAAATTTAAATTGCCTTCTTGGTGACTTATCCCTGCAAATTTGCTTTGGGCTTTTGAAATGAGACTGCTTTTTGGATTGTGCAGTCACAGAAATGCTGACCCACTGAAGTGAGTCTGATATAAGTAAGGTATAAACAATAGCTCCTCTCCTACCTAGGAACAAAATACTGGAAAATCGTTGTCAATTCTTTTAACAATATTCAGACTGTAATATTTTAAAAGATATGCTCTCTCTCTTAACAGTACAGTTTCTGCTGTCAGAACTAAGATTTTTCAATTTTCAAGCAAAGGTGATAGAATTTTCTCCTAAAGTATTCACCCAAAATGAATGCATTAAACAACACATTTGTTCTTTGTGTGTTTAGTTGTGAAACTTCAACAATTTAACATAAAAGTGGGATCTAGTGTTGCTTGCATGCAATTATACTGGTGATAATTAACAACTGGTGGAAGGAGGGAGAGAGCAGGCATATTTCTTCTCATTTTCTAGGATTAAAACAGTGAAGCTACAATGCAAAATATTCTTCATGCTAATACTAATTAAGTTTCCCCATACTTTTTTATATATGGAACACATTTTAACATGCCTTATACTCTATTAATTGCATGACATTTCTAAAGGGTAGTAGAGCAGTAACGGTGTTGGAGAATGTGACAGGGCATGGTTTTTTAATACACACCAGTACTCTCTGGCAAGGCAACTGTCTGAATGGATGTTCTGATTGTAGCCTTTCATGTTGTACAAGTAAGAGATTTTGTTGTGCAGATATTATTAAAAAGTTCTACTAGATTTTCTAAATTAGAGCACAGGTTTTCTGGCCTTCCTTCTGCATCTGTATTTTTTATAGTCTTCAGATTTGTTTCTTGATTCAAAAATGTGCTTTCTAATATATTCTCTGTCTGGCCCCGTGTGGTACTGTTATGTTTTCCTGAAGCTGTTGTTGTTTGGAATAATCTAGTGATGCTAATTCAAATTCACTTGTAGTGCTGCTGCCTAGATACATAGTAGTTGTTACAGGAGCCTCCACTCTGATAAGGACAAATATTCATGATGAAGACATTGCTGATTTTTAACTCATTTTCTCTTTAAGCTCAGAACTACACTGTTTATTCCTAATGAAGAGAAACAAAAGGACAGGTATATACAACAATGTACATATATGAGGTATATACAGCAATGTACATATATGACTTTATGAACCCTGAAATACTGTGACTAAGCAGTTGAAAACATGTGATGTATATTGTTTGAATTTTGTGTGCCACAATGTATTTAAAGTATGAATGTCTTGGATACCACTTTATCTACTGGCATTCTGCTTTTAGGAAATAATTAAAAAAAATATAATACTCTCCCTAAATAGTACTATGTCTTCCCCAAAAAAATCTCTATTGTATATCTAAAGAATCAAACACATGTTTTCAATTTAAAATCTAGGCATTTATTTCCTCCTTACCCATAGTGACTCCATTTTTGTCAGTAACTACCATTGATAAGTAGTGCCTTTAAAAGTGCTGATGGTTCATTGCAGTAGCCTTCATTAAATCCTGTTAAGAAAATGTTGAGAAACTATTGCTTTTGGTTTCCCAAAAACTCCAGAAGCAGTGACCACAAAGACATAAATTTATTTGGGTAGGATATTTGGTGAAGGAATTGACTTGCAAAAGATTGTAGATGGAATAACTGCAGAATCTTTTCCAAACAGTTACACTGCACTTTCTCAAATTATTCTCAGGGTTGACTAGATCCTGTGCTGTCTGCATGGCCAGATGGGATCCACCAAGAAACCTAGTGACATTGTTCCATCATTTTCCATCAGTTCTGGCTGACCAGGGAGGTATTGGGCAGCAGGAAGTCAGCCATTGTGATGCTCACCTACAACAAGAGCTGGAAGGAGGTACAGGCCCGCCAGCCTGAGCTCAGTGCCAAGGGAGCTTATGGAGCAGATTGCCTGGAGTGCATCACAGGGCATGTGCAGGACAAGCTGGGGAGGGCAGCATGACCCCCTTTGTGGTGAGCTGACTGCCCTGTGCATGAGGGAAAGGCTGTGGGTATTGCCTACCGGACTCCAGCAAAGCCTTTGACACTGTGTCCCACAGCATTCTCCCAGAGAAGCTTGGACAGGTGCTCTGTGCTTCTGCTGGCTAAAAACCTGTCTGGGTGCCCAGGCCCAGGAGTGGCTGTGCAAGGAGCTGCACCCAGCTGGCAGTCGGGCACCAGGGCGTTCCCCAGGGCTCAGTGTGGGACCAGTCCTGTCTGACACCTTTGCTCATGATCTGGGTGAACTATATCACTACATATCACTACATATCTGCCTGTGAAAATATGAATTCGACAACCTGTTAGAAGAGGCTTCACAAGCCTGTCTCTCTATGCCAGTCTTGACTTATTTTGTCCAAATTGAAATCTTAGAGCAGCTTTCTCGTATTGCCTCCAAGAGACCTGTGAACTCATGTTCAATTCAGAGATAACTACTAACCTTTGATTTTAATTCTAGCCTACAATTTCATTTTCTGAGTAAGAATGCTGCTAGACTTGTCAATGAGGCACATAGGATGGGCGTGATATGTGGGTTATTTTTCCCATTCAGGCTGTCTTGATTCTAGCTGCAACATTTCAAATGTTTCCTTTCTTTTAATGTAGGAGAAGTTGGCATTATCTTGTGACTCCAATACTATGGCATAATTTTTATCTTTTTTTGTAATTTTGTTCCTCGTACAATTCTTCATACTGCTGCAAAGGTTTCCCTTCCTGTGTTTCTATTACCTTTAATTCCCTTGCTTTGCAAAATCCATCCCCCCTTGCTTCACTAAACTTATGCTGTTGATTGATTCTCGAGGCTTTTCACAACAGTTTGCTGCATACTTAAGTCCTTATCTTCAAGACTGAAGGTGAACACCAAGCTCCAGTTAGTCTGGAACAATTACCATGTATCTGGGCAGCAGCACTACAAGTGAATGTGAATTGGCATCACTACAGATTATTCCAGTAGTTCCCATTCATCACAAACAGCAACAGCTCCAGGAAAACATAGCACTACTACATGCAACCAGACAGGAAATAGACCAGAAAGCATGTTTTCAAATCAAGAAACAAATCTGAAGACTATCAAAAATGCAGATGCAGAAGGAAGGCCAGAAAATCTGTGATCAGATTTAGAAAACCTAATTGACGCCCAGCCTTCTTCACCTTCTTGTTGAAGTTCCAGGCAGACACATTTGTTTTTTCCCCTGTACTGTTCCTATACCCACCCCTAAGCTGGGGTATCTGTAAGCAGATCCAATCTACTCCATTATCCTCCAAATCCCTGCTTAATATTTTTCTTAACTAAGACTAATACATGAGTGCATGAGTGCAGTCTCCTGAGATCAAGCTGAGCAATGCTGGTTGCTTTATCTCCACCATTGATGCTTACATTAATTTCCTCTGTACTTTGCAAAAAAGTCGTCTGAGGCAGGGGCAATAGCATAAACAGTGTTACTGCAATGCAGCTGATAAATAAAGATTTTTGAAGGCTGGCACTTCTAGGTGATTTTGGAGTCATGGCCTATGCTATATGAATGCTACCGAACATGTAACTCTGACTGAACAATAAGGTGTTAAGGGATTTACTTTTTATTTCCTTACTTATATGAAAGGTTTATTTTATTTTATAGAAACCTTTATTGTTTCTCAATTAAGTTATTTGTATAATAATGGCATGTGTGGGTAGCACAGGATGATAAATATTGAATATGTGGAAGTGATTCATATTTCATGAACTCTGATCCTGACCTTCTTACAATTACCAGAACAAATTACATTAATTACACCAAATTACATGACAGGTGGTGGAAGTTGTCATTAGTATCCATTACATACAGCAATATAGAAAGAAACTCCCTGGTTTTCTGTGGTAATTGACTGTAAGCATGACCACTCTTACATAACAGCAATGCACCCTCAGGAGGTGATGTTTTGTTTGTGTAGTTTTCATGTAAAAAGAACTTACTTATTTCAGAGTAAAAAAGCTTTTCCTGAGTGATAAAGGCAATGGAGCCTGGGTGCCTATGGATTAGAGTCTACTGTCTCCAGTATTGCAGCCCGTTTTCCACCTCCCTCAAAGTCCTAAACCAAGCAGTGACCACAATGACCAAGTGGGTGCCACATGTGCACCTCACCTCCTGATTGTGCCAGCTGCATTGGCAGCTGCAAAGGCTATTTGTGCTCCTCTGGGGCAGACACACATTCCTGTCCTTTAGACTTTATTGCTAACTGCTGGTCTTGAGGAAAGCTGCAGGAGTGCAATCGTTTGTAAGTTTCAAATTTGGGTTAACAGTGATTGTATGTGTGTGAAATTAGATGAGAGGAAGATACTGTGGTAAGAGAAATCACATTTCCCTAGGCAAAGAAACAGTGAAAAACATTTTGTGCAAAAGTCCATATTCAAAAAGGAGCACCTGAGAATGATCTGGAAGGGTCATACAGTGTGACCCATATGACAGACTGGTGCAGCATGGCATTCCGCTCCACTAGGAGCCCCACCAGGACCTCTCACAGTGTAGGCTTTCCCCTGGCTCTTCCCTTTTAGTCACAGTGCAATTTTTCTGAGATGAAAGCCTGTGATAAGAAAGGGACATATTTTGATATTGTTGCATTTTAACCCCAGCCAGCAACTAAGTACCCTGCAGCTGCTCACTCACTCCATGCTCTTCCTTGGTGGGACGGATGGGAGAATCATAAGAAGGTGAAACCTGTGGGTGAGATAAGAGCAGTTTAGTAACTGAAACATAATAATAATAACAATAATAATAGGGAGAAGGAGACAGAGGAGGAAAAGGAACATAAAAAATGAGAGAGGGTAATAAACCCCGAGAAGAATAAGTGATACACAATAGAATTGCTCACTATCCACTGACAGATGTACGCCCTGCCCTCAAGCAGAGCTCAGTCCCCCCCTATCCAGCTCCCCCATTTATACATTGGGAATGACATTCTATATTGTCAAACATTCCCTTGGTCAGTTTGGTCAGCTGTCCTGGCCAAGCTCCCTCCCAGCTTTTTGTACCTCCTCACTGGCAGAGCATGAGACACTGAAGGACCTGGACTTGGGGTAAGCACCACATAGCAACATGTAAAATATCAGTGTGTTATCAACATTATTCTTATACAGAATCCAAAACAGAGCAGTGTACCAGCTGCTAGAAATAAAGTTAACTCTATCCCAGTCAAACCAAGGACAGATATATACACGTTCCTTCATGCCTGACATAGTTCAATTGTTTACTAAGCACAATGGAAATACCCATTTTACCAAAATTTGGGAATTCCCATTTTTCCAAAATGGGGAAATACCCATTTTAGCATTTACTAGTTCTCTCTTCAGAAAGAACTGAAGAGCACAGATAAGACCTTGTTCTTCCTTCACTTTGTTTTATAAAGCCTTTAACTGTGTTCTTCCCTGTAGAGCTTGTAATGCGTGCTTTTGCTTTCCTTTGCTCTTTTACATTGTTCTATTATTCATCCTTAGACAAAGTTTTATGGCTGTTGTTAGTTTGTGTTAAGAAAAAGAGTTTTAATTTAAATCTTTCAAGGCAATATTACAAAAAGAAAAGCAAAAATGTATTATAAACCTGAACAACTTCCTCCTAACTTTTAAAAATCTCTGATTGTCTGTGAGGAGTTTAGAGAATGTGACTCTAAAAATTTATGGTTTATTCCCTTAACCATTATTTGTATTATTTAATTAGCTTTATAAACAGTTTTTAGCCAGTTGAAAGGCTCAAGCAGTGTAATATAAATGAAGACATCTCCCTTTTCTGGATGTCTGACCAGAGCAGACTTTGACATTGCATGTAATTTCTGAGCACTATTTATCTAAATACCTCTTAGGACTGGGGCCTGAGACTCTGTTGATGTAATTGACTCTTGTTAGGCTCTTGGAGTGGCTTCATGAAGGACCATGTGCAAAATATCATGTACAGGTATTTTCCTGTACATACATAGGGGGTTTTTTTTATGCAGTAGGCATGATAACAATAAATTAAACTGTTCCATAAACCCCAGTTTGTTTCCCAGGTAGGTGAGTGTACAATTGTACATACATAAAAAAACCCAGTCATGGACAACAAATGGATCTTGCTTTAAGAAAATGCAGTGGACCCTCTGTGTGAGTGATGAAGCAGTCATTATTTTCACATAAGCTGTTTGGTTTCAAAAATGTAGTAAAATCTTGTAAATCAAATGCAATCAAGAAATTAACATGTATCAAATCTTTGCAAAAAAGAAAACAGAATCTGTTGGAGGAGACAGTGGAGAGGAAAGCTTTGAATGAAGATTTTAAAAAAAGAAAAAAACTCATTAAGCAATCCTTTAAAAAGTGGATGAATGTGATATATGCACAGTGACATCCAGTGCAGTGTCACTGGAGGAAATAGTATGGTTAGTGTGGCTTTCTGCCACCTTCCACCCCACCTGGGGCATCTTTGCCTGGGCCAACCTCAAACTGGGAATATCAGCTCCTCTGTTCAATTACCTAGAAAGTATCTTTAAACAGTTCAAGGTCAGTGTATGACTAAAATCCTTCCATCTTGTTGATCTAGCAAATACTTTAGAATGAAGGCCCAGCACTATAGTTTGTGGAATAAACAATGTATTTCTGCTATAGATGCACTTTGTCACTGAGATGAAGGATGCTAAGAGCCCTGGGGCTGGAGACAGTTGTATTGTGTATAATGAGATTTCTGCAAGAAAAGAAGCTAGATGTTGTAGAGAACATAGGAATGGAAAACCTGAAGAAAAGAGTAAGGTTTGTGCTTTACCTTGCACTGACTGAAGCATGTATTTGCTGAATCTGTGCAGAGAAAGCTTTTCTTTTTGAGGCTGCCTAACACAATAGGAGAACTTATCTTACAGATGGAATCAGAATTTATAAAGGTTTTTATGTTATAACAAACATACACATGTTTTAAGCTGTGGTCTTGAAATCCAGGCCTTCAACAGCATAGTCTGAAATGTCACATGCACACACCTGCTCACAACGCAGGAAAAGAAGAATGTATGGGGCACAGGATTTAGGCATTCCACAGTAAATGAAATAGGGCTTCTGAAAGCTTTTGAAACTGTAATTTAAAAAAAAATTTATGACTTTTAACTTCTTTTATAAAAGTTAAACCTAGCTGCCCTTTTCTTGGAAAACTATGACAGTAACACAAAATTTACCTGTTGGATATGTTATTACAATTTTTCTTCAAGCCAGCATTGACCTTTACTATGTAATACCATCTAATACTGTATAGTAATTTAAATCTGTTTTAATGACTTTTGCAACATAAATGTTCTAAGTATAATAACAATTATTTTAACAAGTGTTTCCTGATTCCAGGCATGTGTAGAGAAGATAAGGTATGTAATATAGCTGACCAGATAACTGCTTTAACAAATTATATTCATTCTTCTTTATTTCGCTGCAAAATGAAGAGAGTTCAGTGTAGTTCAAGGAAAGCATTGTGATAAACAGACAGCTTAAATGTGAGCAGTGTAAAGAGCAGCAGCTTGCAGAAATATTGCTATAGATACTAAGACCGTATCCTGCCTCGCTACGGACCACACATAATTGAATCATGTTCAATAGAAGGCCATTACAAAACAGTGCTGATTTGCAATGCTAATGTGGTGAAGACAGCTGTCACTGGGAATTAAATATGATCATTCAAAGCCTGAATAAATGAGGTGCCCATTATCTTCTGGCTCTGCTACAGCCTGCTTAAAGAACACAAATAAATGATACTGTCTCAATAACCAGCTCAGTTTTGTCTTCCAGCCATAGAAATATGAAGAAGACAGAGGGAAGAGGGAGGGCACACAACAACATCAACAACAAAAAGCAGAGTCAATTTACAAAGACACGCAGAAAACCAATGCCCTACGACTTCATTTGCAACAGAACAGTATTTGTGGAAAAATAGAGAAAAGCTCTTTAACCAAGCTAACATATTGTAGTGTAGAGCATGCATACTTATTTACCAAAAAAAAAAAAAACCAAAAAACCAGTGAAAAAACCCCGGTGTTTAAAAAACTCAATCAATGATTTGCCAAAGGAAATCAGTTAGAGATGCCAAAATGTCAAATGAACTGGAACAGGGTCTGCCAAGAGTGATGGACAGGCCAAGGTAGATTTCTTTTCCTTTGGCCATCCAGTACTTTAAATGTCATAAAATATTTAAATTCAATTTTCATGTGAACCATAATTCTTCAGGCACAAGGAAAATGCTGATCAAGTGGAAGAAATCTGCATTTACCTGAACAAAAAATTTGTGGGAAGTTTGTGTCATTCCACAGAGAGAAAAAAATGCAGCAGTGATAAGAAGGAAAAAGTTAAGATAAAAATGAAGGTTATTTCTAGTTCAGCTAGACCTCAGAGACAATTGACTTGTCCCTGGTGTAGCTGGCTCAGTGCTGAGTGGAATCTGCCTGTTAGGAGCTGCAGCTGAGCCCATGTGGGAGCTGTGCAGGGCTGGGGATCCCCATCGTGCTGGGCAGGATCCTGTGGCCAGCCTGCTGCGGACCCTGGCCGAGCAGCTGCCTGTGCTGTGGCACTGGGCTGCTGGCAGAGGCATCACTGACAGCTGCTGGGACAAGCAGGGCCTTAATTGGTACCTAATTCCCAACTCATGCCTATAGAAAATACTGTGTAAAATTTGCACCTTAAAGAAAAAAAAAAGAGAGAATAGAGAGGAGTAACTTACAGGAGTCCTACTGATGGTAGGTGTGAAAGTACTTCGTTAGACCTGTGATATCATCAAAGGAGAGCAACATATGAAAGAGTAAAGAGTTGTTTTCTTCCACTGAAGTATTGCCCACCCACTGCCTCTTCACAGTGTTTTACATTTTCCAATAGGAAAAGCAGCTGTTAAGGCCTGGAAATGTCAGAATGAGCAGGATAAAGTGGAAGGAAGGGAGCTGAGCATAATGATGACCCAGACCACTATTTTGTGTAATTCCAGGTCTCAGAGCAAGTGACTGTTCTGAGACCTTTGACAAACTTGTGTTAAGTACACAACAGGCAACAGCTTTCACAGTGGAGCTGGCTGCACGTGTGAGGACATATGCTGGTCTAGAACAGAGAGATAATTCCAAGGAAAATAAAGATATGGGAGAAGATTAGAACATTCATCGTACAAAATCAACAACAACAAAAAATTGCTTAGAAGGTGCACGACCGAAAAATTGCATCTGATAATAAGATTAAATACAAGCAAGAGTAAGGTCATATATATGGCACAGGAAAGAAAATCAAGAGGGTGCATAAAAACTGGAGACTAGCTCTGTAGAAGTCAAGTTCAGAAATGAATGGAGTTTTATAGATAAGAAAAATGAATGTAAAGTCACCAGTTGAAGTCCAGTTGGCATTGGTGAAACATTGTGAGTAAGTGCACAAACAAAAAGCAGCAGTGTTGCAAGACACATGGTGTTAATGCATCTGTGCTTGAAATGCTGTGTTTGCTCATATCCTCACATGTACTGGAATGCTTATGAAGTCAACAAGAAGGACATTGAATAGTGGAGAAAAACATAATACAGAGTACATGTGTAATGACCACTAGCACCATATCTCTCCTCTTGAGAAATGAGAGGATTCAGGGGCACAAATATGTCAAGCTATACCTGAGGAAGTGGAAATGTTTATATTTTTGAAAGGGATCATGAATGCATGAGATAACCACATAAAACAGGTGTGAAAGGAGATTCAAGG